TGTTATCAGGAGTCAAGTGTATATTGTAAAGAGGAAGGAGTTGTTGCTATTGTTATCTCTCCCTGGTGTTGTTTTTTGTGAAAAAAGTTTTTTCTTTAGAAAATTACTATAAAAGAAAATTTTCTAAAATTTTGAGGATTAGCGGAAAAAGTTTTTTTTTTTTTTTTAGTGATCTATAAGAATTTGTATTTTCTTATAGATATATTAAGTATATAATATAGAAAATAGATTGTTTTGCTATTTTGAATATTGTTAAGGTTTTTTAAGTTAAGTAATAATTATTACCTGTTTACTTGAGTAATGCTTGTTTATTTATTTGTTTATATTTTTTTATTTGTCCTTATTTATTTAATAAAGTATTAATCTATTAATTTTAAACTATATTATTATTTTAGATCTATTATATTATTGATATGTACTATTATATATAAGTATAAAATATAAATATGTTAAATGAATTGTTTATTAGATATATAAATAAGTTACTGTTTGAGTAGACAGATATAATATATTTGCATTATATGATTCTAAATATAAAGTGTTGTTGTATTGTTTTTGTTACTTTCTATTGTTAAGTAATTTAAATTTGAATATTCTTTTAGATGTTGTAAACTTTAAGCTTTAACTGATTTATTAGTTAAAGTTATTGACTATGGTACTTTTCTTAGTGTTAAGAAAGATATTAATTTGCACTGGTATGAGAACTTTGTGAAGTTGAGATTGAGTCTCCAGAAGCTTATTGTGAATCAGTTTTCTTAAAGTTTTTTTTTTCTGTAAAAAAAAATTATACTATAATAGTTTTTCTTTAATATTTATACTATAACTATTATTACAAAGAAGTATAGTATTTTGAAGTTTGGTGACAAGTTATTGTTGTTTTTAGACTATATATTTCTTCAATGTTAGAGGCTGGCTTCTTGGTTTTCAAAAATATTACCAAAAAAGGAAATTTTTAAGGAAATTGGAAATCAACAGAAAAAGTTTTTCTTCTAACTTTAGTAATACTATATATACTTAATATATATTATACAAAAATTTAATAAAACATGTAGTATAATCTGATAGAGGGTATCAAAAAAATAGATTATCTATATGGATTTAATCATAACTAATAATATACTAATGACGAGTATAGGGAATCTACATGCTATATTTTACACTTTTTTGAAATATCACGTGTTCGAACATACTTAAATATAAGTCACAACAGATAATCTCGCTTATGTTATGCGTTTTTTATTATTTAATGCCAGAACACCCTTATTTCCTATATTTCTAATGTTCTGCATGTATGTTTGTGCGCTCACATAGAGAAGTACTTTTCCGAGCTAAACATTGAATGAGAAATTTAAATTAACTAGTCATATTGTGTTTTAATTATCATGTTCCTTCGAAGTGATATCTATTCAGAAGACGGAATTCATATTGTCAGTATTCAATAATTCATACATCATAATATTGCCTAGATCGTTAGTTTATCAAATGTTTTAATCTACGTAAAGTTTTTTTCGAAGATGTTTTCTAGCGCCGATGTATCACGTCCATTTAACCCACTAACCACAGGTCCGGATGAATGCACATCCTGATACCCATTGCTGGGGTTCGTATCTCCTGCGTTCTCTTCTGCAGTCCCAATCACATTCCTCCAATTATACCAATGATAATATTGCTTATGAGAAATCAGTTTTGTATTTTCAAGGCTCTTTAAATTTTCACGAAAGCTAGGATTTTGTAATAGATCGAGAAAATAAAGAGCATGTGGATATCTTATATGTTATATATGTTAAATGGGTTAATTATTGTAGGATCGAAAAACCATTTTGTTAATTTCGACAAACTCACATTATAAATTTCGCATATTCAGGGCTTTGCCAATATTTTAGATATTTTATATAATTCATAAATGCTGGATCTTCAAAGTATCCATTCTGTGCAAGATCTATTTGATGAGTTCGAATGAGATTCATAAGGCATGTATTAAAAAAATTCGTTAGCTGAAAGGAAATTTTAGATTATACAAACTGTTAAGATACCAAGGATTAGCTAAACATGAAACAAATTCAAGTTCTAATTGGAATCGGTTTAAATTTTGTTCCTTATTCTCCTGTCTTCGATGCTTCGTGATTGAGCTTGGGCCGTTTTCGCTTGAGGGAGAGTCTTGCTCCGACATCGTAGTTAAATTCGCAGAAAAGGTAGTTGATAGATAATTTTACTATAGTAATTAAAAGATGCATATTTAGATGTTACACGGGATATCTAAAAAAATTGATGATAACGCACGATGCCAAAGTGGCTTAGCCTGCAATTGCTTTTCGAAACGTCATAAAAAATTTTCATCTACCGAAATTACGCTTAAAAGCTATGTTTGCAAGGCTATCAGGAAAAGCTGCGAGGAGGCCTTTGAAACAATGCATTAAAGTTTTTACGCAGGTTAGTGAATTTTTATGTTACCTTTAATACTTCTGGTTATTGCCCTCCTAATTTGTCTTTTTTTTTTTCTTCTAGTCTCGGAAAGCTTCAAGTGCAAGTGCTTCTCAGGCGGTTCGTATTTACAAAGTGTCCACTTTCATGTTTGGGGGATAGGTAGTTAATGAAAAAATCTGTTAATTGTATCAAAGTTTTACATGGCATAGTAACGATTGTTTCGGCCGTTAGATATTTAACTGAAATAACGAGAGAGAGGAAGATTTGAAAATAATAGCACGATGTGAATTAAATCAATGCCATAATGATATGTATCTACGATCCTTACAACTTTAAAAAATATATTTGATAGAATAAAAAGGTCATCGTTGCAACGACTACTGTAGCGGCAACGGCAGCGGGTATTGGGTACTTTATCTTTGCCGATCCAATTCATGCAAATATGGCCGATGAAGGCCTCCATCCGCCAGCGTATCCTTGGATTCACCGTAGTCCATTCAGCACTTTCGATCATGCAAGGTGAGAAACGATTTATGTTGATAAAAAAGTTATATATGGACTTTGTGGAGCAGTGAAATAATTGACGGAGAATCACCGCTTTCATTAGCACTACCTTTATTTTGGTCGTCTAATATCTTAACATATTTTTAATTCTCCTAGCATTCGCCGAGGCTTTCAGGTTTACAGAGAAGTTTGTTCTGCTTGTCATTCACTCGACCGCATTGCGTGGCGTCATTTGGTGGGTGTATCGCATACACTTGACGAAGTGAAAACTATGGCCGAAGAATTGGAATATGAAGACGGTCCCGATGAAGAAGGAAATTATTTCAAGAGACCAGGAAAGCCTTCAGACTATCTGCCAGCTCCATACCCAAATGAAGAAGCCGCCCGTGCAAGTAACGCCGGTGCACTTCCCCCTGATCTTTCATTGATAACCAAGGCTCGTCATGGTGGTGCCGTATGTATTGTATACCACTTTTTATTCATAATTCCTTGAAATCTCTTAGAGCATGTATCGTTCATGCAATTGGAATAATCTATGATGATTATATTTCGGGAATAAACGCATACATTTTCATCAAATACCTAGGACTATATATTTTCTCTTCTAACTGGATATTATGATCCACCAGCCGGTGTTGAAGTTCGCGAGGGCTTATATTATAATCCATATTTCCCCGGTGGTGCGATTTCTATGGCTAGGGCTTTATTCGACGGATTAGTCGAATATGAAGACGGTATTATATTAATCTTTTGTTATTATGGTCTTGATATTTCATTTTATTGTTCGTAAAGTATAATATATATGCGATCTTAGGTACTCCTGCTACCACATCCCAGATGGCTAAGGATGTAACAACCTTCCTGTCTTGGGCAGCTGAGCCCGAATTCGATGAACGTAAAAAAATGGGTGTAAAAGCTGTGGTTATCTTATCAATCATGACTTTATTATCCATTTGGTTAAAACGATCAAAGTGGTCAGTCTTGAAGTCTAGAAAGATTGTGTATGTATTTTGTTACTTCCGAATATATATATATATATATATATTTTTGAGCTTCTACTGAAAATCTCTTGCATTTTTGCCTATTCCTCTAGATATGCGCCGCCACATAAGTAATATATTTAATCGGAAAAAGCAATTTAGATTCCAAATAAAATTATCATCCATTGCAACATTTTAGTAAATCTGCAGAAAATATTCAAGTACATCTAAATCACTCCGAACATATCAATTTAATACTATATCATGTGATTTCTATATTTGTGTCATGATCTTGTCCATATTAAAGACTTCTCGTAGCAATTATACACAAAACTTCACGAATAATCATCCTCGTATTTGATCCTTTTTCGGTATTTGAGATTATCCAGTAATTTTCGAAATTAACAGGCAAATTCCACGAGGTTTAAAAATTTGCTTAATAATGCTAATAAGTAATATATGGAGTGTTGGTACTAATTTCATTATAATTCTAGTATTAATATTTGCAAATTAATGGTCAAAAAATGACTCTTCAATCGAAATCTCGACTTTTTAATTGTGTACTTTTGATGTATCTTGTGTTGCTGCTTGAAAGTCTGTTATTTTTTGAGAAAATATCGTCCAATCTAGTTTTATTCTGCTTCTTTTAGGATTCATTTGTGTAGATATCTGATTTAACAATCGCTTTCACTATATATATTTGTTAGTCTATAATTCTCTGATTTCCAATAATCTTTTGTAAATAATGTTTGTTGTAATTAAGCAGAGGTCCAAGTATATAGATGGTGCAATTTCTGGAGTCAAAGTTAATGTTATTTCAATTTTGTTTAGAGCTTTCCTAATTATTTGAGGGTGAAGTACAATCTGTCTGTTGTGGGTTTTATTGTTGCTGATGAACTGCTGTTTAGATTAGCTAATTTAAAGCTTTGGACTACTATAATATTAGCTATTTTGCCAAGATTAATTCTATAATATATTGTTTCTATTCTATATATTTGCTCTTTAACTATTTATAGCATTTTTGATATTTATAAAATGTCAATATAGATAAATCTGAGATTATATAGTTGGTTATAATTTAGTTTATATTAATGTGCTTTTTTTTTTATATATATTTTAATTTTATTTTCTATTTTTGTTACAAATTATTTAATAGTCGATTGTTGTTAAGATAAAAAAATTGGAGTATTATTACAGAAGTTATTATTAATATTATTGAATAAAGATCCTACTATATTTTATATAAGCTTTGATTAGGATTTAGATAAATATTTCAACACAAGTCTTGAAACAATTTGGGATTTTTTCTTGTTTATTTTTTTTTTTTTAAATTATTATTATACAGTATAAGAGATTTAAAGATATTATTATTTATAAGTTATTATTTAAAGAGAATTTTTTAGTTTCTTATTGAATATCTATTCTGATTATATTATTTATTAGTAATTATATCTTTTATAATTATCTTTTTTTTTGGTTAATAAAATATATATTATAGTATAATTGTAATCTTAAATATGATATTTTGTATTTTGACATATTAAGGATATTATTGATAAGATTTTTTTTTCTTTATTTAAAAGAAAAATTTTTCTTTAATATTAATATATTTAATCAATATAATTAATAATAGTTTTGAAGATAATATAATTTGATTCATGTTATTATACTATAAATATTATAATTATTGATTCTAGTTAATCAATTATTGCTATATAGTAATATATATTTATTTTATATATAGAAAATTTTATATTTAAAGTTAATATAAATAATTGTATTGAAGCTATTGAAAATAAGTTAACTTTGTATTCAAATGTTTTGTTAATTTTACTATTGATTTTATTTTATTTTTTATTTATTTTTTTTTTTTTAATTTGCTGTCAGGTTGATACGACTTATCTTTATTGTATATTTAAAATATATTATATAATTTCAAAGATTTTTACATGACAGCTCATTTATCTTAGAAGTTTAACTTCTCTAGATACAACTTAGGAAATAATATTTTGTTCTCTTAATAACTTGGATTATCCTTTAGCTATCAAGTTCATTGCTTACAGGTCATCACTGTAAATCATCCAAAATTCTAAATGGCAGATCAAATATCTAACCATGTTTCCCCTTTAACTATTCATCTTTCAATAATCTTCTCGAGATTTATACTTTGGGAGTATTCTTTATATGATATTTTATCTATTAAAGAACTATTATCTTTTTTTTAGATTTTTCATATTTTCAAGCTTGTTTTTCAGAACTCAGTGTCATTTGGATCTCTTATAAATACCCAAGGTTTTTTCCTATTCAATTACCACTTTGAAACATTCATTCTAGATCTTTTTCTTGAAATTCCTTTGCATTCGTTGATATAGTCTTCCTATAGCTTTCTTCGTAATAAGTGGCTTTATCTTATAATGTAGTTTAAGAAAGTCTTCAATATCTTTTATTTTGTCTTTATATATATATTCACATATTATTTTAAAAAGATTCTGTTCCTGTTGCTGTATCTCATTGAGTCACATATTAACTACTTGAAGTATAGCTTCTTGATCTTCGTTTTTAACCTTCACTTGATCAGTAATATATTGAACCAACTTCTTACTTGCTTCTTTTCAGATGTCAAGTTTTTTAAAGCTTGTTGCTGAATACAAGAATAGGTAATCAGTTTTTCTTCATAAGTTTCATATCTAATACAAGTGATGGATTTATAAACTTCTGGTTTTTGCTTCTTAAGTATCTGTAATGTCAGAAGTTCATCGTGAATAAGATTTATCAAAAAGCTTTTATTCTTGTTATCCTTAAATGATGTATACAATATATGATGACTATTAAACTGACTTTAAAAAACTATCCAGTTTATCTTGGTTTTCCCTTTACTCCATCTATTTCAAACTCATCTTTGATTACTCCAGTCAAGACTGATCTTTCTATAATTCTATTCTTTAATGAATTCCCAGATACCAATATCAATGATCAGGCCTTTCCATGGGGCTATAGAAAAGATTACATCCATTTCTGGTGTGTGCTGCCATTCTATTGGATTTTCTTTTCTAGCTAATTTTGATATTGTATCTATCATATTGTTAAAATAGTCTTCTTTATGTACACAGACCTTTTCTAGTGTTAAAATAAGACTTTTTTTCTTAACTAGATTTTTATCCTTATCCAAAGTGGCCAGTTAACTATTTTAATTCATTTTTTAAATGATATAAGTGATTGTAATTGTATAGTACTCTATATTCTAATAGCTACTTTGCAATTTGTAAAGATAATGATATTAGCATCTTGAGGTAGAGTATAAAGTACTATCAATATTGCTAGTATTTCTGCTCTTGCTGCTGAAGGCCATAGCAATCCTCCTGCTGAGAATTGGTTGACGATGGTATTGTTTTGAGTCTGAATCCAAGTGAAACCTATTTGACATCTATTTCAATATCTCCTGTTTCTTTCTTAAAGGACTCATCAGTGTAGAAAGTAAAGTTTTTATGTTTATTGTTTAGATTAACTCTAAAAGCATCAGTAAGTTCTCTAATATGTTTTTTTTTACTACTGATTTTATTATAATTTAGTTTTGATAAAATTATATTATTTAAAAAATATTCAAGTATTAAAAATAGAATATGATTTATTATATAGCATATCTGCTTATTTATAATTTATAATTTTTTCATTTTAAAATATTAGTATAATTGTCAATTTTTTTCTAAATTAGTTACTTTTAATATTATTTTTCCTATTTTCTGAAATTTAGATCCCTAGTATTCATATTGTTTTTTTTTTTTAAGAAATATAATCTTTATTCTTACTAGAATAACTTCTTATTTATAATCAATTCTACTAGTATTGATGTATACAAGTGATGATTTATCATTATTAACTTGAATATTATTAATATTAAAAAATTCTAAAACTATATCTAGAATATTTTGTATACTAGTTTTATCTAAAGTATATTAAGAAATATCATTCATATATATTGTTACCATGACTATCTGTATTCTTATAAATAAGGATATTGTTTTGTTATTAATAAAGAAGATAAAATAAATTGTTTATATTATTTTTAGTTTATATATTTTCTTTTTATCTTTTATTTCTTACAGTAATTATCATAAAATATTTTTCATAATGGTGAAAATATAGTATCTATTTAATTAATAAAAATATTCTTAAAAATTTTTATGATTGGTTCCAATAATTTTATATATTTTAATATTAGTACTTATATATCTTTATTAATCTAATTATATACTTACTTATATTTTATTAAAGATTTATACTTTTTTGTCAAATCTTTTGCCTCTTTTAAAATATTATTTATTATATAAATTGATTGTTATATACTATTTTTGAAAAGATTGGCTTAATTATTTTTTAATATTATTTAATAATTTATTACATATTATTGCTATTTGGTTATTCAAGATAAATATAAATATTTTTTATATATTTTTAAAAAAGTAATAGTTTAATGATATTGATATCACTTATTTAGTTTTTGGATTTGAAAATTAAGTGAATTTTTTTAAATTTTCATTCTGCAAATATATTTTATCTCTACTATTAAATTAAATAGTTTTTTGAAAAGTTGAAAATCTTAAAGATTTAGATTTCATAAAAATATATATATAATCTTTATAGATTCTAATATACTATATTTGTTCTTTGAATATATTGCTTTTTGAATTTCTTGTATATTTATTTGATCTATATATTATTAATATTATTCAAGTTTGATCATATTAATATATAGTCTACATTGTTTTCCAATCATCTGAGGCGTAGCAATCTCAACAACAGGAAAGATAACTTCCAATACCAGAAACTCCAAAGTTTCACTATTCAAACAACAAAAGATAAAAAGAACTCAATGTACAGAAAGAAGAAACAAAGAGAATCTCTCCTTTCATAATTAATTATATGTCAAGAAGCCTACTAACATGTAAACAAAGATCCCAACATCATCAGCAATAGAACCAAACCAAGGCAGTGAGCTTGATAAAGCTTAAAAACTATCTATGGCATCCTTTCTCAATGTCACCAATATAGAATAGAGACAGAACTAACCCATGAGATCCAAACGTGAAGCAAGCAAATGGAAAAAACTGTGAGTGGAACAGAAGATTTCTCA